TGTCTCAAAATTTCTTTTAACCTGTGCAGAACTCGTGCTTGTTAAAATCCAAATAGCAGGTTGAGCATGGAAATTTCTATTTCATGTTAACTGAGATACCCACACGTAAGTTCCTTATCTGTCTACTGACACACTGCTGATTTTAGTAACATCAGTGTGTTTACCATTAATGAAAGAAAAGCCACTGACCTAATGGGCTAAAATGAATATATTTGCATGCTGAGAAGTATTAAGTTGCCAGGCAGGAATATCAAAGCAAGTTGAGGACTCATAGACAGCCAGCGCTTTCCCACAGTTCCTCCTCTGTACCTCAGGAATACTGACATCCTTTCAGCTCCTGTGGTGTGATCTGAGCGTGCCTTGGTGGTGTGGGCACACGTGCCTGTCTGAGCTGGCACGGCTCCATCGCCCCTCATGCTGGCTGGAAGAGGTGATGTGCTGAAGAAATATTTCTGACCAGCATTTTCCCAGCATTTCTTCATGCTAGAGCCATGGGAAGCAAAGTAAGAAGGTAGGAGGAGATGGACCTACCTTCCAATTTTTTTTTTTTTTAACTGTTGCCAACTAAGTGTTGAGATTGAGGGGATTGTGGGAGCTATTGGTGATAGGTGAACGGTTGGACTGGATGATCTTTTAGGTCTTTTCCAACCTTGGTGATTCTATGATTCTATGATTCTATGATTTTAATGACCTGGCTGTTTAACCAAATGTAGTAGTTTCATCCCATGCAGCAGCTAAGCCCCCATGCAGTTGTTTGTTCACTTCCCACCCACCTTGACAGAACAGGAGAGAATCAAAAGAGAGCCCAAGTGGAAAAGCTTGTGGGTCAACACAAAGATAGTTTCATTAGCAAAGCTGTGTTTGCCAGCAAAGCAATGACAAATGTATTCATTACTTCCCCACGGCGGGCAGATGTCCAGCCGCTTCCTGGAAAACAAGGCTTCAGAATGAGTCACGGTTACAGGGGAAGATGAGCGCGATGTCGTCAGGCATGGAGCACCCCTTGGGTCAGCAGTCCTGGCTGCGTGCCCTCCCAGCTCCTCGTCCACCTCCGCCCATTGCTGGGTAGCAAAGCAAAGTGGGGAACAACAGAAACCCTCAACACTGCCAGCGGTGCTCAACAACAGCTAAAGCACTGACATTTTATCAAGACTGTTCTTAGTTGCAGATCCAAAACACAGCACCACGAAGGCTGCTCTGAAGAATGTTAACTCCAGTACACAGAAGCAGTCCTGTGCAGCTGAATCTCTTGAAGATGTTCTCTGCGTTGTTCTGTCAGAGCTTGAGAAGTCATGCGGACAACCAGCTGGGCCGGGTTTGAATGGCAAAGTGATAGGCCTCTTGACTTTAATCCAGTTTAAATTGTGCCCGCCTCAGCGTAAGTTTTGTTGTTATGACATCCTCTCTTCTATAAGCCTTGGGAAATTATATTTTATGTTATTGAGTTAAGCTATTGGCTGAGATTGGTGGCTGCTGGTAAAACAGCTACTGTGTAAACAGCAGCACTTTGCACATGATATCAGTGTGTGCTCGAGTTCCTCTGGAAAGTGATGCTTTGAAATCTATGCTCCTGTGAAGCCCACCTGCAGTGCTGCATTCGGCTCTGGGGTCCTCAGTGTCAGAAGGACACGGAGCTGTTGGAGCAGGGCCAGAGGAGCTGTGAGGATGCCCAGGGGCTGGAGCACCTCTGCTTTGGAGCCAGGCTGAGAACTGGGGATGTTAGATCTGGAGGAGACTCTGCAGGGACCTCACTGCGGCCTCCCAGTACCTAAAGGAGACCTACAGGAGAGCTGGGAGGGGCTCTGTCAGAGAGCGTAGTGACAGGACAAAGGTAAAGGCTGTGAAGTAAAAGATGGTGGTCTTCAATTAGCTTCTGGGAAGACGTTTTTTAGTGCTGAGGCCATGAGGCCCTGGCAGTGCTGCCCATCCTTGGAGGTGCCCGAGGCCATGGATCGGCTCTGGGCAGCCTGAGCTGGAGGGGCAGCCAGCCTATGGCAGGGGGAGGGCTGAGGGCTGCGAGGTCCCTCCCAACCCAACGTGCTGTGATTCCATCTAATGGTACTGTAGGGTTTCTGCATCCCTCAATGGTTCCTGACCAAATTTGCCTGATTTACCACTTTAAAAACATTCTGTTCTAATTAGTGCTTGTCTGCTTTCTGACTCGTATCTCAGTGTTTGCAATAAAGACGTTGCGACTGACACTGATAAACAGTGCTGTTTGATATGTGAGCCAGAACGCAATTCAGCTCATTCTCCCAGAAATGAGTTGGCTTTGCAGAGCTAGCAGAAATGAAAAATTATAAAAATAAATAGACAAGGTTTGTAATTACACAGAGGCAGAATGGATCAAACGAGGAAGCTTCATTTATTTATTTATTTTTAAATTTTTTTGTGAATATGCTCTGGGTTTGAAAAGCATGCTGGGCTTTTCCAGGCAAAGCTGTGGTGCTCCACGCATCTCGTAAATTGGAAAGATGTGCCAGTTCCAGATGCCTCGTGCAACTGAAGCTCCCTGGTGACTTCGTGATGAGAAGGCGCTGGATGTGCAGAAGTCCCACCACGAAGCCTTTCTCTGAAGCTCTTTCGGGCGGTTCACCAACTGTTCTCTTCCATTTGCCCTGCACCTCCACCTTGTCACCACTCACCGCTCACCTTTCCCACCGCTGCACTCCCCTGGTGACGCATGTCAGCTCTAAGCTCAGAGCAGCAGCTGCTAACCTCAGCAGGGGCTTATTGCATCAGAGCTTTACGTGGCGTGTTTGTGCACTGGGAAGATAAACCTGTAATCTGATGTGCCCATGTACAGGTATGAGCAGCTGCAGCTGCAATTAGCTAGAGGCACTGCTCCGGCCTTGGCAACACATGAAAAGTTAATTGGGAGGGACTTAGTACCGGCCAAGGATGTGTGAGGAGGTGGCATTTGCACACTGACAGAAGGAGACTTTGATGGCTGTGCAGGGCAATTGAGGCCCACCTTCGGTTATGGGAAGCTGGGCTTTCAGTGGTAGCAGCACTTCTGTGAGATCTTCCCCGCACACAGGAAAGGTTTCTCTGCTTGGTTTTCACTTTGAAGAGAACACAAAGCTTTCTGCTTTTTCCCTTTGATCTGTTTTGCATGCACTGAATTAACCTGCAGGGAACACTGATAAAAACATGGCAGGAATTGAAGCTGGTTAATTAAGGCCAAGGTGACACAAGCCCTTGCTCATCTCTCACCTGTGAGCTCCAGGCCTGGTTCATCCCCCTTTGTGCCGTATGGGCACTCAGATACCTGTCTTCTGCTCTTGGCTGCAAGGAAAGTTCAGCCCAGCTCCCTGGTGCGGCCTGAAATGCAATTGCTGTGGAGATGCTCAGGTCCTGCCAGAGCCCTGCTGCTGCCAAGGGCTGAGCAGACCTTTCCTGACCTCTGCAGGGACACTGGTCGGTCCTGGCATGCCAACTGGAATGGTACTGATGTTGAGAATAACACTAGCATAGTGAGAAAAGTGATAAACGGGATGCAAAAAAGGGAAGAGATGGGAGCAAATAGCTTTGGAAGCTGAAAGACTAATCACAATTACGTGAACTATAAAGAATGACCTTGTCCAGCAAAGAGATCCTTTGTGGTAGGCTCTGATTTGTTCCCCTTGCTGTTCATGCTGTCCCACTGTTTCTGAAAAGTTAAAACCAGGTGACACCTAACAGCTGCTGGCTGGCATGAAGAATGTTCCAAACAACACTGGGCACATCAAGGAGGGAAACACAACAGCAGCTTCCTCTGCAGCTCTAATGCCCACCTACATGGAATTCATCACTTCTGCAAGGTTTCAAGGAGACTGAAGATGTCTGTCACCAGAATAAGAGGTCAAATGTTGGCTTCAGCTCAGAACTTGTGCCTTGTCCACAGCCCTTCTCTGGATCAAGGCAGAACGATATCTGTCCAAGACAGATGGACGAGGTTATTTTTCAGGTGCTGCTGACGTAGCTGCCATGATGCAAACCATGTATAAAGCCAAGAACAGAGGAGGTGATGCAACTGGAAACCTGCTAGCAGGATCAGTGCATTACTGTGTTGTTCAAACCTTCTCAGACAAATTTTGCAGCAGAGAGCAAATTTTGTGCCTGAGAGCAAGTACAAGAAGGATTGCTGAGGGCCATGCTGCTAAGCACAGCCTTTTATCAGCCTACCCCTGTAATGGCAGCTGTGACGGACAGGCTGCTGTCACAGCCCTGCAGTCCTGCTATGCAGACCCCTGCTATGGAGGGACTGCACCAACCACGTCCAGCCCAGCAGCTGCTGCAGTGTCCAAACCCATGGCCTGGGGGTTCTGAACCACAAAATTCACTCCTGTTTGCTTTGGTCAAGCCCAACCACAAGAAGGATCCTGCGTGCTTTCTCTGTCTTTCTCTGGCACTCTCTGCCTGTGGGCCCGGTGGTAACATGTCCCATTTCCCACATCCCTCTGTGGGTAAACTGAGGCATTTTGAACTGATGGGCACCGCAGGCTGTGATGTGCTGTCGGGGCACTCCGTGGAGCAGAGGTAGCACAGGCCACGGGCGTCCAGCCCAGGCTGCAGCATGCAATGAGTGCGTTGGGCCCAGGCAGCAGGCGCTCAGCCCTCAGGCGGTGGCGCGGCATGCTGGGCAGTGAGGTGTGCAGGTGGGGCCGCCACCTCCAGTTCCAGTGCACAAGCAGTACAGCTACCTGCCTGTGTATGACCATGAACCATGGTCTCCAACAATGACAGTGTGGGCCAGAAACAGGTGTCACCTTAAGACCTGCCCAGAAAAGCCAATTACCCCTGGATGATTATGGTTAATAACTCTCTTAGCCCTAATCGCGCTGACACCGATGCCTGGAGCTTACCATAGGGGGCACTTTATAAGGGACGCCCGACAGCCGCTTCTCTGCGGGGCGACAGCGAAGGCTGGGCGGTGGTGGAGCCCAACTGCAGGGGCGATTCCCCCTCACAAAACCCGACACTGAGTGCGACTGAGAGGCGCCCCACAAACCGCAGCCATGAACGGGACGGAAGGCCAAGACTTCTACGTGCCCATGTCCAACAAGACTGGGGTGGTGCGGAGCCCCTTCGAGTACCCCCAGTACTACCTGGCTGAGCCGTGGAAGTTTTCGGCGCTGGCTGCCTACATGTTCATGCTGATCCTGCTCGGCTTCCCCGTCAACTTCCTCACGCTGTACGTCACCATCCAGCACAAGAAACTCCGAACGCCTCTAAACTACATTCTCCTGAACCTGGCGGTCGCCGACCTCTTCATGGTCTTTGGAGGCTTCACGACCACCATGTACACCTCGATGAACGGGTACTTTGTCTTCGGAGTAACAGGGTGCTACATCGAGGGCTTCTTTGCTACGCTGGGCGGTGAGTTCTCCAAATTTTAAAAATCTGACAGAAATTTCACCAGATTTCAGGAGAGGGCGTGAGGACGCCCAGCTGCTCCTGGAGAGCCGGGCGGTGCGTGCCAGGCCCTGCTGCTGCTGCTGCTGCAGTGCTACTGGGTGGGAGGTGAAGAAAGTGACAAATGGCACTTCTTTTTTAAGCCTTATTTTGGTAGCCACCTGTTCCATCTCCTGCGAGCAACCGTGTAGCCATGAAAAGTAACCTACAGCAGATTGTGCAGCTGCTGGATTTGCACATCCTTTTGGCTCGCTTTCTGACAGGAGAGCTGACGGCTTCTTCTGGAGCTGTGGGGCTCAGCGTTACTGCTGTGAAGTGCAGTGCAGTGCAGCCCAGCAAAGCTGCCTCCACTGTGCCATCCAGCCGGTGATTAGTGTTAAATTAGGGCTGTGTGTCTGAGAACAGCCTCCCTGGCCAGCAGACAGCTGTAGGTGGGGTTGGCCCCCGAGGCACAGACGACCTGAGCAGAACCTGGAGGCAGTGCTGCAGATCAGAGTGGGGCCGTGGGCACGTGGATGCAGTGCTGTGCGGGAGGAGGGCAGGATCCAGCAGTGGATCCCGAGGTGCAGCAGCACAGCGTTCACCGCTGGGGGTCTGCAGGCATCTTCTGACTCCTCACCGCACTGGTACTTGTCTTCTGTTCTGTCCCGTCTCTGAGCACTGGATGGAGGTTCGCTGCTGATGGGGTCTTCCCCGTGCCAGGAATGGCGTGCCTTTGTCCTCCCATCATTTTCAGTCCCCGTATCTCCATCCCTCTCTCCCTGGTGCAGGTGAAATCGCTCTCTGGTCACTCGTTGTCCTGGCTGTGGAACGGTACGTGGTGGTCTGTAAGCCCATGAGCAACTTCCGCTTTGGAGAGAACCACGCCATCATGGGGGTCGCGTTCTCCTGGATCATGGCCATGGCCTGCGCAGCTCCCCCGCTGTTCGGCTGGTCAAGGTAAGGAGGGGCCTGGGCATGGAGCGCAGGGTGCGGGCAGCTCTGCTGGTGCTGACCGCCCCGTGTGCTCACAGGTACATCCCCGAGGGCATGCAGTGCTCGTGTGGGATCGACTACTACACACTGAAGCCAGAGATCAACAATGAATCCTTTGTCATCTACATGTTCGTGGTCCATTTCATGATCCCACTGATCGTCATCTTCTTCTGCTATGGGAATCTGGTCTGCACTGTGAAGGAGGTGGGTGCTGCCCAGGGGCTGGGGGCTGTGCTGGGCTCCATACGCTGACAGAAGGGAGCAGTGCTCTCCAGCCCTGCACCCACACGGGCCAAGCCCTCCCGATTCCATCCCCCCCACTCTCTGCCTGCAGGCTGCCGCCCAGCAGCAGGAGTCTGCCACCACCCAGAAGGCAGAGAAGGAAGTGACCCGCATGGTGATCATCATGGTCATCGCCTTCCTCATCTGCTGGGTTCCCTACGCCAGCGTCGCTTTCTACATCTTCACCAACCAGGGCTCAGACTTCGGACCCATCTTCATGACCATCCCGGCATTCTTTGCCAAGAGCTCTGCCATCTACAATCCTGTGATCTACATTGTAATGAACAAACAGGTAACTGCCAGCTGACTGCCTCTGTAGTGTTTCTCTTTGTAACAGCTGTGGGGAGCTCCCATATCTCCAGCACACCCTGAGTCGCAAGGGGATTCCAGGTACTGCGTGCTGGTGTGCAGGAGAGTGAAGTGTAGCTTACTCCTTCACGCTGTGCAGCTCTCGTTGATGCAAGCACCCACCTGAGAAATGTGCATGCTGGCCCAGCGGAGCAGCTGGGGCTGCCTCCCCCAATGCTGAGGGCTGGGAGGGAGACTTCACCAGGACAGTGTCCCTGGTGCAGACATGCTGGAGGGTTCCATGCAGTTCCCACTGCAGCACGTGGGATCTGTACCTGCATTCCTCCTGCTGCAGCAGTTCTTCTACTGGACAGTGCCCATGGCATTACCGGGCTCACTTTTCTCCACCCCCAACTCTGGGCCCAGCATGCAGGCAGCCCCTCAGCAGCCTTCTACCCTCACCACGCTGCTTCCCCTCTCTTCCAGTTCCGTAACTGCATGATCACAACCCTCTGCTGCGGCAAGAACCCGCTGGGCGATGAGGACACATCTGCTGGAAAGACTGAGACCTCCTCCGTCTCCACCAGCCAGGTGTCCCCTGCATAGGTCCCAACGCACCAACCTTGCCCACTGCCAGCGCCTGCCCGCTTCAGCACAGCCCTGCGGGGCGGGCTGCTCTCCCAACCATAGGAACCCTGGGAACAAGGCTGTGAAAATGTACACATTTTATAATTAAAATGCAAAAGCTTAGCTCCTCCACTGGCATAACTCCGTGCTTCTCTCTCTGTTGATTCACTGAGAGCTCACACCTGTTGCACCATGCAGGCCCTGCAAAGCCCGGGCACGGTGGAGCCACTGCCACCTCCCTCACCCCAACCTGAGGGCCTCGGCGGGGCAGGGGCTGAGCCCCTCCCAGCTCCACTGCTGCAGACAGAGCCTGCAGCCACCAGGGCAGGGCCAGGGCGGAGGGCTGTGCTGGGGCAGGCTGAGCAACGCCAGATGCCCAATGCTCAGAGCTCCGTGCCCAGCCCTGCCCAGCACCTCAGAAGGACACCGCAGCAGCTCTGGGATGATGGGTGGCTTTTGGCACACACGTGCCCTCCGTGTGGCAGAGGTGAGGGTGCAGATCCCACCTCTGAGCAGGTGGCACAGCGTGGTGCAGCTGTGTTCCGCTATGGCTGGGTGTGCTTGGATGCTCCCGGTGTTGGCTCCTTGGCAGCCCCACTCACTGCCCCCCCCAGCAGGACGCAGCCCTTCCCTCCCAGCCACCCACAGACCCTCCCTGTCAGCTGCGGCCCAGCTCAGCGTCAGCCCACATAGGAGGCTTTGGCTGGTGCTCGTGCTTTTGAGGATGGATTGGTGCATTGCTGAGCTTCCTCTGTGTTAGAGAAGGCAAGACATGGGAGCATATGGTGCAGAGACACCGGCATATGTTCCAGGCACTACAAGATGGCATATTGCAATTGTAGCAGTGTTATTCATTTTTATTTTTAGCTCAGTTATACAAATAAGATGTTTTTCTTGCTGTTCAGCGTTATCAACATTTGAAACTATTTTTGTACATTATTATCCTCTCTGATTTCTAATCCTATGCAGCTTCGCGAGGTCTAATAAGGAACATACAGAACCCATGCAAGTTAAATCTTTAATAAAGAGCAATTTGCAAGTACAATTCTCTCATTATTTTTTTTATCGATACTTGTGCATATTCAGTGAAATCTGAAGATTAACGGTTTATGAATAATTCAGTGTTTAGGCTGATGTCTGACTCACGTACTTCAAATCCGAGGGCTGCTTTGGAGGGAAGAGGAGGATGGTGGCGTGTTTGTCGCCGCTCGTCGAGGCATTGCTCCGCAGAGCCACGCGGTGCTCAGTGGCCGCTCGGTGATGCGGCTCGGCCACCCACGCTGAGCCCTACGGCACAGTGCAGCGCTGGCCATGCAGAGGGGCACGGAGGGCTGCCGCGCGGGGCCGGGAGCGCCGTGCTCTGAGCCCGGCAGTGCGCGAGGTGCGGGCAAACACTGCGGCTGCTGCAGGAGCCCCACGCGGCCCGCAGCGCTTAGAGGAGCTCGCAGCTCGTGCCTGCGGCCGCCACTCCCGCTCCGTCCTTTTCCAACCATCTGCTTGCAGCATTCTTTCTCCTTTCAGCCTCTCACAAAGATCTGGGCAGGAGCGCTCGGGCTCACCTGTGTCCACTGCGGTGGGAACCCGGCAATTAGCGGCTGCCCAAACGGCCCTCGCCGTCACCGTGCCGAATCAGATAAATCAGCTGCAGGTGAGGTGGGCCTGGGAGCTGGGTTGAGGCTGCGGTGCCTGGTTGGCGTCTGGGAGCTGCGCAGCCATGGAGTCCCAACCAGGTCGGGGCTGCAGGGTGCGGGCACCGCGGTTCCCTTTTCTGGGAACGGGCGCGGTGACGCTGTTTGGCTTTGGAGGACCGCAGCCCTCGGGGCTGTGAGCGCCTTCGCCTCACGCCGCCGTTCTGTATCACTCGCAGCCAAAGCCGCCGGCGCTGCCCGGCTCTCCAGCCTGCTCGCCCGGGGCCGGCGGAGCCGCCACCCCCCCACGCTGCACATGGTGCTCGAGGCGCTGCAGGCGCAGGACGGGAAGAAGGGCGCCTCAGTCGTCGCCATTAAGCGCTTCATCCTGGCCAAATACCCCACGGTGGACCCCGTGCGCCTCAAGTATCTGCTGAAGCGGGCGCTGGCGACGGGGCTGAGCCGCGGCTTCCTGGTGCGGCCCCACAACTCCTCCGCCCTGGGGGCCACGGGGCGCTTCAAGGTGAGCGGGGCTGCAAGAGCGGGGCTGGGGTTGGGCGCTGCCGATGCCGGCTGCTCCCACGTTCTGCTCCTTCCCTGCTCCCAGCTCGCTCCCAAGAGGCTGCAGCAGAAACAGGCGCAGGGCCAGGAGGATCCCGGGGAGGGACCGGCCCCGAAGACCGGACGCAGAGGGGCTGCTGAGGCTGCCCGAGCCCCTGCGGTGGCGCGGAGCGACGGAGGGCAAGGTAATGGCAGGGGTCTGGGGCGGACTCCGGTGAGGTGCCCTGCCTGTGCTCATCTGCTGCTGCTTTTCTGCAGGCACGGCCAAGGAGGAGCCGAAAGCAGTGAAGAGGAAGCCGAGGGCAAAGCCTGCAGATGTGAGTATGGCTGGGTGAGGAGGCCAGGGGATGCCAGCGCTGCACCCAAGCTGTGGGTTGTGGCATGGCAGCAGCCTGAAGCACTCTGTCCCCTCCAGGCCCAGCCGGCGGTGGAGAAGCCCAGGAGTCATGGAGTGAAGGCCCACCAGGCCCCTGGCAAAGGGCGGCCGCAGCCCCCTGCAGCTCCTGCTGCCAGCAGTGTGCGAGAGGACAGTGCTGACCACCCTGCTGGGGTGAAGAGACCCAAAAAGGCCCCAGCAGCCAAGAGCAAAGGGAAGGTTCCTGAGGAGGCCCAGGAAGCTGCCTCGAAGAAGGGAGGTAAAGCCAAGGCAAGGAAGCCTCAGGCAGCTCTGGGTGCTGGCCAGGGGGGGAAGGCTGGAGCACAGGAGGCAGCTCCTGGCAGGAAGGTGTCATAGGGGCCCCAGGACTTTGACAGCACAGCGCCATCCCCAGCTGAGTCTGGGCTTTGGGCTAGGAGCTGGTTTTAATTCCCAGGTGTTAATTCTGTTCATCTGCTACTAATAAAGGTTGTCTGATTCATGGAATAGCACAACTCCTGCCCTGCATGCCCGCCAAGGTCCTTTCACCCAGGGTGAATCCGCAGCCTTGCCCCATGTAGGATGGGAAGGCACGCAGACTTGTGGAGTGGTAGTGAGCTGTTGGCTCCTGTGAGCAGTGCTGGAGTGACTCTGAGGGCCCACATGTATGCAGGCTGGTGGTGAGCCCCAGTGCGAGGTGATGCCCAGGCAGGGGCTCTGAACTGTGGTGGGAAGCTCAGGGCTTGTCACTGCTCCCACAGCGTTGGTGCAGGGGATGTGTCTGGCCCTGTGCCCTCCCAGCTGCCCTTGTGCTAATGCCTGGCTGAGCTCAGATTACAACAGTGCTAGGGCAGGAGGGATGGGTGCTTTCGTGGTCCACCGTGGTGTTTGGAGTTGCCTAAGCTCCACCCACATTAAAGAGGAAGATAGAAGCGCTTTAGGGCTCAAAAAAAGCTCGGTGTTTGCAGCAGGCTGTAGGAATGCTCATGCTGTTGTTATCTGTCTGTGCACAGTACCCATCTCAAAGCCTGTCTTGATAGCTTCTGCCAGCCAGTGTATGAAAGCTTTCTTTATGATAGTTTTAAATGCCTGAATTTTTCCTGCTCTGTGCAGGACAGAGCCCTTCTGAAGGTCAGTCTGATAATGCAAAGGTTGTCAGTCCTCCTGGGTGGGAGAAAGTAAGTGGAAGTAAAACCCTCTTCCTAAAGAGGATTTAACTAATCTTCAGCTGGCTTTGCCAATGCCCTCCAAGGCTTCTGGCCTTGCTGTGCGGCTTAAGCAAGAGCTGAGCAAACTAACTACTTTTAAACTTCAGCCTTGGCCATGTTGATGCATCTTTAAATGTGAGCTCATGTTCCCCAGGGTCAGGGTGAGGGATACTGCAGCAGTAACCCAGCAGAACTCAGCTGCACCTTCAGTAGTGGTCAGTCACAAATGACTGCTTGCCAACACTAGATGTCCTGCAGTGGAACAGGGCAGGAGCTGTGTCCTCTTACTGGGCCCTGAATATAAAGCATAAGGTTTCTCGAGAGGCTATATTATTAAGTGACTGGATTTAGCTTTACTAAGGATCAGCTTTAACACAGGAAGATCCCTGTGGTGTCCAGGAAGAGCAGTTTTTACTGAAAGATGGTGGAAGCGGGAGGATTTCAGTAATGCCGTGGTTATTGAGCCCTGCAGGCTGGGGATGGTGTCACTGCTGAGGCCAGAAGCCTTCAGTGCTGCGGCAGCGCAGAGCAGAGCAGGTGCTGGGCTGCCTGTTGCTGGGTGAAGGTGCGGTCGGCCCCAAGACTGTTCCTGGCAGTGCGAGGGTGTCCTGCCCTGTGGGTAGGCATGGCGATGCTGGTCCTGGTGCGTGTTGGTGTGGTTTATTCAGGTCCTCTCGTGGCTCTTCTACCTTCTGTGTCAGATCCTGTTCTGGTGGGACCTTCCTGCACGCTAGGCAGGAATGGTGAATTGCTGCAGCCTTAAGAGGATAAGACCTGTGCCACTGGGAAAGAAGATGGTTCTTGCTGAGCTGCCAGCCCCGAGCACTGCGCTGCTGCGTGGTGGAGCTGGCAGCTGCCTGCCTCCCCATGTTCCTGAGGTGGAGGAGCACAGGGATTTGCATGGCCTGTGTGAGAGAAAGATGCCTGAGACAAGAGATGGCCTCTTGGTGTTAGGCTCTGTGTGTACCAGGAAGTTCATTACGCAGGGTTTCAGCACCTTGTTTTATTACAAAGATAGGTTTCTCCGAGAGTCTGCCACTTCCACTACACAGCAGGTAAGGGCACTATACCCACAACACATGCCAAAGTTTAAAAACATGTTACAAAGGGCTCAGGGTTCAAGGCAACACTACAAACCCTCAAGCATTTGCTCTTTTAAAGTTACCTCTTTTGAATGGTTGTAGCTTTTTTTTTTTTTCTGCTTTGGAAAAAATTAAATAAGACAGCAATAGACCCCAATACGTGGCCCAGTCACATCACCTGGAGTCAAACCATGCTCACTACTGGCTCACCTGTGCCCTTTTCCTGTAATGACATGGGGCTGTTGCTCCATGGCCATTTCCTCACCTCCAGCCAAGCTCAACATTCTCTACTACCCTGGTCCTTCTCACTGTCGCCTTCCCTGTGCTGGGCCTGTCTATATCTATGGCAACTATTCACAGTTTCTAAAGAAAAAAAAGTCAAGATTATTTTTTGTGTGAAATCACTTTCAAAATAAAATGTAGCCCAGCTACATTAGTTTCTATTCTGAAACCACATCCTCAGCAAAGACATTGAAACTTCTACAGTGTATGTACTTTTTCTGTAGTTCTCTTTAAAAGAAAAGAAAAACAAAAAACAAAAAACCAACAACGGAACCCCAAACAAATCCTCTTTTCTTTCCCTCCCCTCCCTACCCCTTTTAACATACTGGATAAAGTCTATCATTTGTTTTAAAATAGATATCTATATACACATACACAACTCTGATGTTCTAACTTCTGACAAATGTGTTACTGGAAATGATGGGGTGCGACCACCTGCCTGTGGCAGTAAGTCACCCAGGAGGAGTTTGGTGGACCAGGTTTCATCCTTTCCAGCTGGATGAATAATGGAGGCTCACCTTGAGACCCTGCCTGGAGTGAGGTAGTCACTTTTTAATATATATTTGGCAGTTTGGAAATGTGGTGCCTACAGCTACAGCTAGGTTTTGCTTTCATGGGCAGGTTGCCTTTGTCTGCAGGGGAATGCTGGCTTCAGACGTGTGGTCTAGCCTCTGAAGAGGGGCCTGAGTGATGCTGGAGAAGACCAGAGCATTCATGGCTGCCCTGGCTGTGGAACAGGAGCTGCCAGCAGAGAGAAAATGGATGCCAGGCTGGGATGGGCCCCAGCAGATGCTGCAGGACAGCAGTGGAGTTCCTGGGTCTCAGGCAAGTCCTGTTTGTCTCTGCAGTGAGACTCTGCTTGCTGACATCACTGTGTGGAGTGTGGCGTTTCCTACCTCTGTTTGCACCTTGTGATGTCTGACCTGCTCTGCTGACTTGTGGAGTGAGAGCAACTTGCTGCCACGGGGATGTGTTGCTTGCCTTTATGGGCTGACAAACTGAACGTGTCACAAAACCATTTTTGTTGCTCTCAGGTGGTAACTATGGTGTACTGGCTTCAAGGCAAGCAAAGCAAGCTGCTTTAAGAGCAGCCTTCTCCAGCACTGGTCTGCTTTAGGTGACGATCCTGGTGAGATACCAGAGAGTGTGGGACAGAGGGAGGAAGGATGCCTGGATGTTCTGCCCTGCATGTGGCTCAGTCTGCTCTATCAGAGGACTGACAGAGGTGAGGTGAGCTCAAGTCAGCACCATAGCTGTGTATGCAGCCAGTAGGGTGGGGAGAGGAGTGAGGAGCAGCTTGCTGCTTGCAGGTGGAAGCGATGCCTGTGCCTATCTGGCTGGAGGGTGGGTCGTAAGGGACATCTGCCTATCCTACTGCACACTGTAGTTCACTGCATGCAGGCTGGGGAACTGGGGCAGGGCAGAACAGTCCCACACCAACATGCAATGCACTCCCTCCAACCAGCTAGCAGCTGTTAGGGGATAAGGTGCTTTCAGCATTCCCCTGCTACATAGGAAGCAACTGCTTTAACTCACCCCCAGTTCCCTGGGTTGCCCAAATCTCAAATGAAGGAGAGGTTATGTTTGCACATACAATACAAAAATTAAAAGGCACAAAAATACACAGAATGCAGCAGATAGTGAACAGCTGATTGTCCATGGTGTCAGAGAAATGCAGGTGTGAGAGGGCTGGTGTGGAATGGAGAATGTGCTGCCGTTGCTCTGATGGCCTATGCCATCTCTGCTTGTTACTCCCTGAGGCTGCTTTTTTGTTATGGCTTCTGCAGCCTGGTCTTGTCCATGAGGAATGCAGACAGGGATGTGGGGAGCCAGCTGCTCAGGAACGAATTACTGAGAAGTGATGAACCAAGCTTGCCACAGGTGTCACACCTCCATTTCTGGCTTGCAACAGCAGTAAGTTATGGGTGCTACAGTGTTGACCAGATGGTTTTCTAGCTGCACAAAGGCTGTCTTGTTGCTTCTTGATACGTGAGGGAGCTCTCTGGCTGCAGGTAAGGCCCACCATTGCCACAGGGCTGGTTTGAGAATGACCCTCATGGACATGGACCAAGGTGTCCCCGTGGTCAAGGCAAGTTCCCTACAACAGTTACTCTAGGGGTCACTTCCCAGGCTGCAGTCAGCCTAGGCTTCACTGCAGCACTCGTAGATGTTGTCCTCCATGAGTGCAATCACTTGCTCAAACTTGTGCTGGAGCTGGGTGCGCTTTGTCGTGGGGTTGGAGTCCAGGGCGGCCACAATCTGCAGGAGAGGTGGGCACATAAGGGACAGGCAGCACGCAGCCCTGTCTGCCAGCCCCACCTGCCTCATAATGCCTCAATCCCAGCTGGAGCCAGGATGGTGAGTCTAGTACTGGGACACAGCCTGCACCCTCCAGGTGCAGCAGGGGTTGGCTGAGTCCCTGCTCTCACATTGAGGCAGAGGGAGAAAATGCAACAGGAAACTCTGCAGGGAACCTCCTAGCACAGAGCTGTCCCTGCGAGGCAGGGCACAATGAGCTGCGTTCTGTGTCACAGCCAGGGCTGCACTGTGGGCAGCAGTGAGGGTAAGTTATTGGGGAAGGCATCCTTGTGCTCTGCTTCCTGTGAGTGTAAGAGGATTCAAGCAGTCCACGCACTGGCCAGCCCTGCTGCAAACTTGTCCAGCCAAGCACTGCTAAAAACAACTGGGAAGAGCTGGCCTTTGCTTCTACGCAGTTATCAATCAAGGGATGGGAGAACAGATGCACCTGTGTGCATGTATTACATATGTGCATGGGCAGATTACACAAATTAATCCCTTTTCTGTGAGGCATCTAACTGCTTGGTTACAAAACACCTCCTGTTATTCCCTCTGCAGATAGTTAAGGCCTGAGCACAGCCAAGCTCGCCTACCTGGGAGCGATATCTCTTGGCATATTTGTATATCTCAGC